AAATGTTGTCTGACGTCTCTCTTCTTTCTTTGTTCAACATCTTCTTCTTCTTCTTCATCAACGTCTTCTTCTTCTACTTGCTATCAATAATTGAAACAAAAAAAAAGTTGGAGGAGAAGAAGATGCAGAATAAGAGGAAGAAGAAGAAGAAGAAGAAGAAGAAGGGTTAGTAAAAAAGAAGAAGGACAGAAGATTGATAATTGATAGCCGCCTCATTTTTTTAGCTGGATGGTGGAGATGGCATATCTCATATCATTGCATAAGAAGGAGAAGAACTGGGTGTGGTTTCTTTATTTGGTCTTCTGGAAAATTCCACTCCGGAGATGAATTCTGTGGTGGTGCCATCCTCTTTTCCTTATTTTACAATTCCTTCTTTTTCTTTTTCCAAATTCTGCTTTTCCCATTTTCTTGGCTTCACAATTAAATTCTTTCTTAGAATCGTCGGGACCACAATCTGGTGCGACGGACCCACACAAAAACAATGAGCACATCTGGCTTGAATTAGAACAGAGAAAGAGCCTCCTCCGGGAATCTGGTGATTTTTGGAACTTCACATTTTTTGGAAAATTTCGAGAAAGTTTATAAGAAATGCTCCTTCTTCCTGTATTTACTCTTCTTCAAATATTTTTGGTAAATTGGTTTTTTCTTTAAAATTAAATTAAGGATTTATTTTATACAGAAATCTATGTAAAATTCCTTTATTGAGAATTCGAATTTTTTATTTATTTTCAGTGCTTTTTTCAGTTTTTTTTTCGCTATATCCAGCAAAAAATAAAACAAAAATGAAAAAATCTGAAAAAAAAAATCTGAAAAAAAAATCAATTAAAATTCGAATTCGTGCGCTTCTCCGCCGCATGGGGACTAGAAAACTCCCACTCTTCCACGCGGCCACCAGATGCGTTTTTCTCAATGAAGGACTTTTTTTTTGAATATTTTCTTCATTTTTATAGCAGTCTACATAGATTTCTGCACGAAAAAAAGGAGGCCGACGGTCCCACAACGACAACTATTGTCTATTCAATAAAACGTGGGCGCGCCGCAGGTTGCAAAGTGACACGCCCCTTTTTGAAACGCGTTCCCTTTTCCCTCTTCTCACGCGTTTCATAAAGGGGCGTGCCACTTTGCAACCTGCGGCGCGCCCACGTTTTATTGAATAGACAATATTGTCAAATTAAAAAAACTGGGACCTGAGAATTTGAAAACTTTTGCTTTTTTTGATCTACGAAAAAGCGCGGCAAAAAACGTAATATTTCAGATTTTTGACTCGTTCGAGCTACTTTCGCGTTTAAATTTAGTTTTTTGCTGAAAAATAGATTCTAGAGATGCTAGCGATCATTTTTATACCAAGAAATCAATTTTTGTTCAGAAAATCCCACTAAATTCACATAAATAAATTTGTTATCCACAGTATCCGTTTTCGCTCCGCCCCCTCGTAAATCGACACGAGCGTCGTCTCCGAGATTTTCAGGTTTCACTTTTTTTAATCCGACAATAGGTAGAGTTTCATTCTCAAAAACTTCCGAAAAAAACTATTTCCCTGTTTTTTCGCCGACACATGTTGCTCCTAATGTCTACAAACTTGGGTAATTGTCCCTCCCTAAAACGGAACATCTCATTTTCATCTTTTCTCTTAATTACCCTTTCTTCCTCCTTTTTTTATTTCCAGATTTCCTCGTTTTCTGACCAAAAGAAAGAGGATCTTTGCGCATTAATCCCAGAAAATAACCAAATTTAGATTGAAATCGTGAGAAATTGAAAAAAAAACGAAGAGTATAGATAATTGAAATTGAAAATTTTTAGTGCCTAAAATCGAATAAGAGTATTTTGTACCAGATTTTCGTGTGGACCATAAACAAACAATAATGCTTTGGAAAACTACAACAACAACAAATTACGGTTTCAAAAATTTTATGAGTTTGATTTCTGGAATGTTATGTATTTCCGTTTCTGCATTTTTCGATTAAACCTGATAAACTAGTAGAACTTACAATTAGTAATCAACTTATAAAACAAACCTTGTTATATTTTGTTATATATATATATATATATATATGTATATATATATTTTAATTTTATTTTTTTACCCTAATTTGGAATAATTTGAAAGATAAGTATATCAATGGTACAGTTTGTTTGGATACTTCGCTCAAATCAACAGAAATATAGATCATGAAATGGGATTTTTTCTGTTTATCAAAATTTAGGAAAAATTAGAAATACAAATCTGAGAGTGCGATTGAATTTTTTCCCATTGTATTCGCTCAAGAACGAAGGGAAACTACTGATCTCACAATCAGATCGGCCTCGTGAGAGGCATTTTCTGAGTCTTTTATTTCTTGCCCTCTAGTTATCATTTTATCTGTTCAATAAACAAATTACAAAAAATCACAATTACTGATGTGTTTTTTATAATATAATGAAACAGGTAAAATCGGAAGTTCCTGAATTAAGAAAAAGTGCGACGAACTAATAAATTGAATGCTAACTTTTTGAAGGGAAATGACTAAAAACTCTCTCGTTATGCCTGAGCAAATTGGCAGCCTAGCTTCAGCCGGTAGCGGCAAGGCACCCACAATATATGGCCCACGAGTGTAAATTCTTGAGAGGCTTCCATTTGAAAAGTTAGAAGGAATGTTGTTTTCCAGGAAAACTCTTTCGAAAAACGATACAAAATAATGCGTTCAAAATATTTTTTTCCTTCGAAAAAAGTCTTCAAAGCTCTAATGAAGCTCAGAAAACTTAAGTGAATGTTATTACAACGAAACAATGATCAATTTTGCACAGTAGTTTTTTCTATATTTCGTAGATTTTTGGAACATTTCTAAACATAGCGCTGGATAATGCAATAATAATGCTACCTAGTCATAAAGATAAAGTTATTTAAGGAAACTGAAACGGTAAATTCGAAAATTTAATCCCAATAGTCGAAACGCAATAAAGAACTACCGAATGCTAAAATCTTTTGAGATTCAAAATTAAGAAAACAATATACAGTTTCCAAAACTGTGTAAGTAGCAAAATCATTTTTAATTTTCAATGCTTCGGTTTCACTAGGCGTGCTGCCCATAACAATAAGTTCAGGTAATGTTTTCAATTTTTTTTCAAAAACTGTAAAGATGTACTGAACAGCATTAAGATGAAGCAAATACTAATTTGGAATATCGATTATTGAATACCATTTGATTTGTGTTCGAGATTCAAAATAGGAAAAAATACAGTTTCGAAAACTCTATAATTAAAAAGACAATTTTTAATTACCAATTACCAATCAAACAACAGCATCCATCAATTTTTATAAACTGTAACTTACCAATTCAATTCCAGACAACTCATAGAAACTCGAATCATCTTCTCCTGGAATTTCAGTGGTCGCCAAAAAAGTTGATTGTTTTGTCAGAAGTAGAGAATCATCAGTGAAGTTCATGTTGATCACATCGAATGAGAGAGGCGGTGTACTTCTTCTGCAACGACGACGTCTTCAACCGACAAAAAATGGGGCGGGGCTTATCGGAGTTAAAGAGAGAAACGGAAAAGAGACGGGGAAGAGAAAGAGCAATTAGGAGGGCAAAAAACACTGAAAAAACAACAGAAAAGCTGCGGGAGAGAGAAAGAAGAGAGATGAAGAAGAGTGAGCCTGTTTATAATATTGTGTCTCCTAGGAAGAAAAGTAGAATCCTCTTTTCAAAGAAACATGGTAATTTGATTAGAACAATGTCGAACAAAACGAACGGGGCGGGGAACACTAAAAAGATTCCACTTTTCAAAGAAGTGGGCGGAGCTACAGAGTGAAAAAAAATGTGAGGAAAAAGGAGAAGAAAGGCTATATAACTCATAGAAGAAGCTAAAAAAGAGGCAGAAGAAATGGAGGAGAACGGAGAGCATATTGGCATAAGAAGAAAAGGAAGAAAGGCGAGAACGAATATGACGGATGCTTTGCTTCTTTTTTCGGGATGGGCAACGGAAGAAAAAAAACGAGTTGACGAGATTGGAATGGATTTGGTAATCAGAGAGTCTCTGGGACATGTTTACAGTTTTTTGGATGATTATGGTGTCTGGTTGGTGAACTTGTGGACTTTTTGAAAAATTAGATTCTCAAACTTCTAACCTAAAAACATTCAGAAAGTTTACTGGAAGTGTTTTGAAAGCATGTCTGTTTTGAATAAACTTTAGTTCAATTTCAAATTTTTCGTTTTCACCGAGCACTGAAATTTTTGGGATTTTTTTCTTGTCAGTACGCTGCGAATTTCGTCAACTTTCTAGTGTAAAACGTCGAGAGTATATGACTGGGAAATCTGCAAAAACATACCGTAAAAAATGTATTAGAAGGGCCCCTTTAATAGAAGGGCCCCTTCGAAATGTGTTATTTGAAATTCAACATTTCCGTACGTTTCAGGGCTGGGATTTTACGTTTACGGATTTTACGGTTTCGGATTTAATTGAACCGATTTAATTGAATTGTAGAATTGGTGCTCGAAGTGGAAAATGAAAGCGGCTCCTAAAAAGTGCGAATACATCAAGTTCAATGCAACAAAAAAATATGCCACTCCAATGTTATGAATCCCAAATTAAATCAAGCTTTGATTCCCCCTGTGGAAAATGTCCGTGATCTTGGGATCTACTTTTCCAGTAACCTGAGTTTCCATTATCATTATTCGTTGATTATTCGGAAATCACATCAGAGGATCAACATGTTCTTTTCCATTCTAAAAAACGCATCGTGGAGTGTTTTTTTGAAATGCTATACAATTTACATACGCCCTTTACTCGAATATGGAACGATAGTCACTTCTCCAATCCTAAAGGATCATATTATAAAATTGGAATCGGTGCAAAAGTCATTTGTTTTCAGAGTTTTCAAAAAATTCAGGATGGCATACACTTCATACTTTGAAGCACTGGAAGAATGTCAGCTAAGTTCCTTGGAGTATCGCAGGCTCTATAATGATTTGGTCTACACGTATAAAATTATTGTTTCCAAAGAAATTATCATGGAGGTTCCAATTTTCGAAATATTTAATCATTCTGGATCATTGCGACGTCACAAATACTATTTCAAATCACTTATCAAAAACTCAACAAAAATATCTTCTCAATTTCTCTCTAATAGAGTAATCAGATGTTGGAACTCTTTACCCGCCGAAGTGTTTCCGGTGAAGCCCTTGTCAGCGGCTTTCAAAAATCGACTATTATCCTGTGATCTAAAACATTTTCTTGTCTTGAATTCAACTAATTACTAACTCGGTTTTTCCTTCATCTCCCAATTACTACAAATGTATGTCCCTGTTATATCTCCTAGTTTCATAGACATTTCACGTGTTAGTGGTTTTCTCCCCTTCGTTGAAATAAATAAATAAAATTAAATTAAATTTTTACGGATTTTACGGCATTTTGAGACAACCGTAAAATTTTACGGATCTCCGTAAAATTGTTTCCGTAAAAACCTTAAAATTAACAAATTGACAAATTGACTGGTTTTGGCAAGCAAAACCAAATTTTTTAAAGTTTGGCGCTATTTCAGGTATATATCTTTTCGAAATTTCAATTCAATAATTTGAAAGTTATGCATTGTCACACAGTACCATAGTTTAAAAAAAAGGCCGAAAAATGTCTTTGGAAATTGAATCATCGCTCAGAAGTGGAATTTTGAGATTTTTGGTGATAAAAGTGTGACAATGCATGTTTTGCGAATTATTGAATTGAAGCTTCCTAAATAAGCGTCAAACTTGAAAAAATAGGTTTTGCTTGCCAAAAACAGTATTTTTCCAAATTTTACGTTTGTTACGGGTTTTACGGATTTTTACGGTTTTTCAATCCGTAAATTTTACGTTTTACGGATTCCGCAAAAAAAAATTTTACCCCCAGCCCTGGTACGTTTTCGATGAAAAATATTCCGAAAATTCTAAAATTTCCAAAAAAATTGTTGAAACACTTTTTTTCTCAAAAACCTTCTCAATTTTGGTGAAATTGATAGATTTGCGTGAATTTCGAAAGAGAATTCACCGAACTTTTCAATGAGAATTTCGGAAAAAAAGGCTGGAAAACGGAAGAAAGTTACAGAATATAAGTATCTCGAAAATTACAGGGACCCCTCTGATTGTAGGGTCCCTGTAATAGAAGGGCCCTATGGAGGTACCTTGGAACAATAGAAGTTTTGATTCGGTTTCCAATCATTTTCGGATTAACTGAGTGCACAAAATGCTCAAGATTCGTTTTGTTGTCAGTTCATAAATGTCAAGTTTTTCGTCTACAGTACACATCAAAGTTTGTCAAGTTTCTAGTTGAAAACTTCAAAAGCGCATGACTGGAAAATCTGCAAGGAAATTGATCTCATTTTTTAAAAGTGACATTTTTAAAATCGTTTTTCGATTGGATGGACTTTGGGAAAATACTACAATTACAAAAAGAGGTAGTTGAATTTTTAAGGATTTGTAAAAACAGTAACCGATGAATAAAACTACGGTGATTACGTTAGTATTTCGATTAGTAGCTGTTTTTCAATCACAACAAAAATAAAAAGACCGCTAGTGACACATTTACAACATTTTTCGAGCGGGAAGTATGAGTTTGGGAGGGTGAGGGCTTCAAAATGAGTATAATTAAAGGTAGTATAAATATAGTCTAACTGAAGCTTCAAATGAGTATAAAAGTAGTATAAAACGAGTGTAGTAATAATAAAATATTATAAATGAGTACACGACTATAATTGCGGAATTTTTAAATTTTTCTGGTCCCTGTGCCTTTAAAGTTGAAATTTCCAATTTATGCGAACTTGGCACGTTTATACTTTTTGTTAAAGCTCCAAACCCGGCAAATTCGAATATATAAATTTTAACTGAATCTCTCGAAAAGAGTCTTGCTTTCAATGAAAATGTCGGAATTGCGATTCAACAATATTCGATTGGACAAAAAAAACCAAGAAGAACAACTGGGAACCACCAAAATATTGAAAACTCTATGAAACAGGAAACTTTTCTTTAAAGGTGGGGGGACATGAAAAAAATTATTTTCTCGAAATTCCGTTCACATACCCCCCTCGAGGAGTTGAACTTGTGAGGGCGAGGATTGAGGGTGCGGCGCCGCTACCGACTGAGCCACGTGGGCAAAGAGAAAGCGCACGCCCGTTTGCATACATAAAGGCGAGGACGACAGCTGTACGCAGAGTGACATTAAGCGTTGTACACCGTCACGGTAGAATGCATACTCTGGCCCCGAAAATCCCCCGTAAAATCTCCTGTCCCCCCACCTTTAAAACTTTAGTTTCTTGAAAATTTCCCCAACTTTAGTTGTTATTTCAAACCACAAAATCTGTAATTTTATGACATCAGCATCTATGATTATCTGCTGAAAAACTTTCAACTCTAAACCAATAATTGCCGAAAAATTTCAAGTTGTAAAGGTGTGATTATCAGAGAAATTCTGAGAAGTTTCTAGAATTTAATAATCATTATTATGTTTCCTGTGTCAGGGCAAGTACTAGTGTGCCGTGGCCAAAAAGAACCTGAATTTAGATGTTCGAAACAGTAAAATATTTGTAAGAGGGTGCGAATGAATGTTCCAGAACGACAACTACCGTAACCTGAAATTTAATTTCTTTCCAGGGATTTGTTCCTAGTTTTTTGTACTATTGAGGGACTAGTTCTATCAGCTTTGAGAAGGTCAAGTCTCTGAGTTTTGCTCTTACTAAAACAACAACAACACTAATAGTTCACAAATCGCAGGTGTGAAAATCGGATTTCTGAAATCATGATATCTCTTGTCACATGATAGTGTGATAAGGGTAATTTGATATACGGGACAATAATTTATTGACAAACGCTTAGCAAGAAACAAGAAAAGTGGGAATGGAGTCATGTAGCTGGAAAAGATTAGGAGGGGGGGGGGGGGGGGAGGTTCGGAACGCTGGAAAAAATTGTCTGCTTGTCATAAAAAGAAGGTGAAACGAAAAAAAAGAAGAAAGTTTGTCACGTTTTATTAGATTTAAGCGTTTACAAAATATCTGAAAGTGAGTTTAGTTTGTCTGGGACATTATTCACATAAAAATTTTTATAGAAGACGAAAGTGTTTTTTTTTCTATTTCAACGAAACATTACAGTTTCACAATTTCCACGAATCGAAGAGGCAAAGCTGCTAAGCACTTAAAGTTCGACAAGTAGTGATGTTCTAGATATTATATGTCATACTGTCTTAAAATTTAAAAAAAATCGAATTGTATTGAACAGGAAAAAACTGCAGTGCGTTTTCATCGATATTTTGAGCAGTTACCCCCAAACTCAATTGGCTCAGACCACAAGTTGTAAAAGTTGAAGTGTCCTGAAAGTTCGAAAACTTTTATTTGAGACAATATGAACAAAATCTGTCCTGGAAACAATTTCTTTCATTATTTGAAACGTATTTTTCTTTTGTGAATATAATTCAAATATAAAAACTATAACAGGTTCAATTAATTCATTTCAGTTTCATTAAACTCATTGTTCTAATCCACTTTGTGGATAATTCTTTTCCGAAAAAGTTTAAGTTGTTGAGATAATTGGAAAAGAAACAAAAATCTATTATTTTCAACAAATAAGTGAGAAAAGTTGGTGCCAGCAAATGGATAAAAGTGATGAATCAATCGTAAATTTGTTGTTTTATTAGATTAAAACTAACTTTAGTTTAGTTTGAACATCATCTCAATTCCTGAAGTTTCTTTTGAAAATGTTATATTGAAAAAGTCAGATTTGAATGTTCATACAAATATTCAATTTCAGTAAATTTTTCAGTTTTAACTTGTGCTTTTTGAGTCTAGAAAATATATGGCATACACTCTTAAAATGATCAAGTTTCATTGAGATATTTGCATTGTACATTAAAAAAATCAATTCGATAAAATTTCACTTTTATTTGGTAAAATATCAAGCAATTCTGCTTTAGAAACTATTGCTGACACTATTTGGAGTATTTTTTTTCTGTTGTGAACATATCTCACAATCAAATTAAAAAAATCACAGTTTCAATTAATTGTTTTCCAATCTCGTTGGAATTATGATTTCACTGGTTACTTGTGATAATTAAACAAACTTTTCGTCAAAAAAACAGTTGGGCTGATTGAAAAAATCTAATACTCTATAATAACTAAAACTTTTTTTGGAATAAAAGAATCACTTTGGATATTTGAAACAAACATATTCGCCAAAAATTGAAGTTGTTGAGATAATTGAAAAAGAAACAAAAATCTGTTATTCTCAACAGAAAAGTGAGAAAAATTGGGACCAGCAAACGGGGAAAAGGGTAATAAATGAATCATGAGTTTGTTGTTTTATTAAAGTAAAATCAAACTTTTGTTTAGCTTGAAGTTTTCGATTTGTGAAATTTCTTTAGACGTTAAATTTCAGTGAAAAAAGTAGAAAATGTGGAGATCGTAAATCACAAAACCTTGAGAAAAAATTACGGTTTCAGTTGTTCCAAATCTTATATTTTGCTGAAAAAATTTCAATTCGACTTTTTCTGGATGTAAACTGAAATAATGCTTACAGAAAGTCAGTTTGAATGTTCAATAAAAACTACAAACTACATTATGTTATTTAAAATATTTCAGTTTCAATTTGTGCTCGAAATTTCTGTGCTCAAAATTTTGAAGATAATGACCTTCATTTTATTGTATTCGATTTGAGAAAATATTAACAAAATCTGTTTGGAATCTATTCCTGGCACTATTTGAATTGTTTTTTTCTTTTGTGAGCAATTTGAACTAAAAAAAAGAATCAATTGAGACCAGCAAATGGTTGAAAAAGGTGATGAATAAATCATCAGCTTGTTGTTTTATTGAAGTACAACTAAATACTGTTTAGTTTGAAAATCATTTCGATTTGTGAAATTACTTTTCACAATGGTTATCAAAATTACAGTCAGTGAAATGGATGAAATGTGTAGATCGTAAATCACAGTCTTGAGAAAAAAGTTACGGCTTCCATTGTTCCAAATCTGATTTTCTGCTGTATAACTTTCAGTTCCGGTGTGTGGGAGTATCCTAGATGACTTTTTCTAGACAAAAGAAATCGAGTTTCAATTTGGGCTCAAAATTTTGAAGATAATCACATTTTATTGTGTCGAAAGTATAAAATTACCCTGAAATAAAACATTTCGAGTGACCAAACACATTTTTTTCATCCGTTCTTTAGAAAAATCAGTACTTGAAAACTTTGGGACACTAGGTTCTGATCCTGAATTAATCATTATTTTCCCAGTCTATCCCACAAAATCTAAAGAAAAAATACAACAAAAAAGAAACCTTTTTCACAAAAAAAGTAGGAAATTTTTTTACGATTAACTCAAAATCTGCACGTTTTTTCCTAAAAGTTTAGCAAAAAGAAACTTTTCTCCAGCGAAAAAAATTCGTTTCCTCATTCAACGGACATCGTTTGTTCCCCGGGGAAACTAGAACAAATGGAAAGGAATTGAGAACAAAAAATGATTGGAAAATAGGAAAAAAAGGAAGACAAACGAGGGAGCTAACTATAACCAAAAGAAGAGGGATGAGCTCAAATTTCGGTCAATTTCTTGGTGACCAATTTCCTGATTTTAGGACTCAAAATAACAAAAAGCACAATGATGGGGGATTATATGAATGAGAATGGAGTTTGGGAGTTCGGAAAATTGTTGATTTCTACACTTTTTTACAAACTAGATTTTCTTGAATTCTCCGTTACAGTGTACTCCAAACAAATAGGACGAACATATAAAAGCTTTTTCATCTCATTAACTACAGTAAAACGTAATAGGATCTCACTAAAAGCTTTCCACCCATAAAACCTTGATTTTCATTTTCACAAGTCTTGTTTAATGAGATTCCTTAAACGGTTTTAGCTCGTTATTATTGTTGTCTGACAATTACTGTTGTTAAAGGGGGACTCCGACCAAAAATTTTTATTGCATTAAAAAGTTTCAAAAAATATGTGTTTTCCTGATATTATTGCGAAAAAATTCAAAAAAAAATCCTAAAACCCCGAAAAACGGCGTGGAAAAAA